CAGATTGAGTATCTTTGAAACAAATTGAGTATGATTAATATTTATATTCCAGCATGAGGGGGAGTGTTAGAAAATTATAGAATATTCTTGTATGATTATATTTTAAATATACTAGCATAATTATGAAGAAAATTAATAAGACAATTTATGTTGGTTACCATATGTGAATCCATCTGTATGTATATATACCCCTATTCTTATTTGAATACTCTTATTGAATAACATTCAAGAAATATTCAGTAATTTTTTCTAATTCTTTACGTGGTATCAGAGATAGGGTTAGGGTATTAGGAGTTAAATTAGATTAGACTAAAGAAGGATTGAACAACTCATTCCTGGGCCGGAGAAAGTCAACCACTGTCCTCCGACCAGTTCAGATCATGGCCGACATGGTGGTGCATGCAAAAGAGGTGGAGGAAGCCTTTTTTCTTGGTTTTTTGGGTCCTATTGCGTTGGGTGAGCCAGAAGAGGCCGTTTTGCATGAGTGTTGCGCTCGGCATGAAGTTAGAACCCGAAGAGAAGCTCGACCGGTCTGTTTGAGGTGATTTTGTGTGGTTTGACACGAAGTCAAAACAGAAGGCTGGAGTAGAAAAAGTCAAGATGGAGCAAATCGTGTGATAGCAAGCGTTTTTCAGTTTTTCGGCACAATTTGAGGTGATTTTATGAACTCCATTATGGATTTAAGTGTGCATTTGGGTTCTACGGTTATTTTCGGCCGAATGGAGGTATTTTGGTGATTTTCGGTGGTGGTGTGTGCTGCGACGATCGGTCTCTAATGGTGACAGTGTGGTTCTCTTGGTTTCCGTGCATGGAGAGATATTATGTTTTCTTAGAATTTCTGATATATTTGTAGTGTTTTTCATATATATTTAGCTATTGCGTTCAGGTATTCTTGGTGACATTTTTTTTATATTCCTGAATTAAAATGGTAGATAACAAATTTTCTATGAATAAGATAGTCCCAACTATGTCAAAGATCACTGAATATAAATTTAATGACACAAATGATCTGAAGTGAAGCAAAACTATTGGAGTTTATCTATGCAGTATTGATAAGAACGATCACTTGACTCAAGATTCTCCCACTGATGGAACTAAACAAGTCTGACTAAGAGATGATGCATGGTTGTTTCTGCAGATTAAAAACTTAATTAACAGTGAGGTAATTGGTTTAATTAATCACTACGAGTTTGTTAAAGAATTGATGAATTATTCAAAATTTATGTATTCAAATAAAGGAAATATGTCTTGCATGTATGATGTTTGTAAGGCTTTCTACCGTGCTGAGAAGGAGGTCAAATCTCTCACAACTTTATGGAATTCAAAAACACATGTGAGGAGCTTATTATACTTTTTCCGTTTAGTGCTGACATCCAGGGACAATGAACACACAGAGAGTAGATGGTCATAATGAGTTTTTTGGCTGGTCTTCCATCTGAATTTGAGACTGCCAAATCTCAAATTTTACCCGGTTTCGAGATCACATCTCTTCAGAAAGTTTTCAAAAGAATGTTATGTACAGAGACTAGTACACTCAATCAGCATCTTAATGTTATTGTGGTCAAGATTTAAGTCTTACTAACTTGTAACAAAAAGTTATGCTCAAATTTATGGGGTTGATTATTCTGATACCTTCTCTTCAGTAGCAAAACTTACATCTGTCCGTTTATTCATCTCCATTGCAGCATCTCAAAATTGGCCTTTACACCAGTTGGATATTAAAAATGAATTCCTTCATGGCGACTTTCTAGAAGAAGTGTATATGAAGCAACCACTTGAGTTTGTTGCTTAGGAAGAGTATGGAAAAGTCTGTCATTTGAAGAAATCTTTGTATGATTTGAAGTAGAGTCCCCGTGCATGATTTGACAAATTTAGTGAAGTAGCTCTAAATTCAAGTTGAAGAAAAGTAAGTGTGATTACTCGATTTTTTAGAAACAGTCAGCAGCTGGTGTTATATTTCTTGTTATCTATGTTGATAATATTGTTATTACAGAAGATGATTGTGTAGAAATATTCTCTCTCAAATCATTCTTACATATCAAGTTTCACACTAAAAACTTGAGTCAGTTAAAATATTTCTTTGGAATATAAGTTACAAGAAGTAAGAAATAAATTTTCTTATCTCATAGGAAATATGTACTTAATCAACTTGTAAAAATTGGAAAGTTGGAAGCTAAATCATGTAACACACCAACGGTACCAAATGTACACCTTACTAAAGATGATGGTGACCCCCTTGATGATCCGGAAAGGTACAGACGATTAGTTGAAAAACTAAATTATCTCACAGCGACTCATCCAGATATTGCATATCCTGTCAGTGTTGTTATCAAATTTATGTCTGCGTCTACAGTCAAATATTGGGAAGCTTTGGAACAGATTTTGTGCTATCTAAAAGGTGCTTCAGAACTTGATATACTGTTTAGCAATTATGGGCACACTCACATTGAATACTTTGCAGATACTGATTGGATTGGATCTAAAATTGATAAAAGATCCATTACAGATTATTGTGTTTTTTGTTAGTGGGAACCTAATAACATATAGTAAGAAGCCGACCGCTGTGTTTTGCTTCAAAGAGAAACCGAATATAGAATTATGTACAATGCAATTGAGAAATATTACGGATACAACATCTCCTAATGGAAAG